GTATCCTATAGTTGTCCCGTAAGTTATGGCATACATAGTTTTAATCCAATCCTTGACTTAAATATATATTTTATAGCTGTCATTTGTGAATATGCGCAGTGCACACTCTATTCAATTTTCGGAAGGGTTTTAAAACTGCAACTAGACGCCGAATTAGCTTACATTCTCGTCTATTATACATTTGGAAAAAATTCAAAAATATTGTTTGTTGTTGTCGGGCATTTTGGCTGTGATTTTCGGACGCCTTTGAACGTTATTTACGACCAGCTAAACTTTATTATGATTTAAATTTTATTGCACTGTGGTGTGTGCAAAAATCGTTGTCCATTCCTTTGAAACAACTAACAGCATCTTAAAAAGCACCGAACCAAAATAGAGGTAAAAGAAGAAGAAAATTAATTGATGGGAATTTCTTTTTAGTCTGCGGCGGATGGGATTGAAACAGGTTAAGATGCGAAGGCATCTCCAATGGCTTGCTTGGCTGCTGCTGGTCTTTCGTCGATTTACATATTCAAATAGAAATCGAAAGCGTTTGATTTTTAATTTTGTATTTGTGCCCCCTCTTCTTTTTCCCTGACTTCCTTCTAATTTTCTGGCAGAAAAACAATGGAATCCCTCATCTACCTTTGTGTCGCTGGAATTACGTAAACTGTGACCAATATATGGAAGTTCAAAAAGAAATTGAATGGAAGTTTGATCGCTGCTTTGATTTTGGTGAGGAAGGTTTTGTTTCTGACCCGAACTCTGTTAATTTTTATTAAAGCGAAATAAGGTAATAGTTAAGTTTGTGGGTCTTACGGTGCGGATGAATAATGTAAGAATCCTGGGATTAGAGAGAGCGAGAGGTTGCTAGCGATCCCCAATAAAATAAGCTGTACTTAGGAAAGATTTGTTGGGGAAATACCTTTTGAACTTAAGCCATTCTGTTAAACATCTGTTCATTTTGGTCAAATGCCATGAGGTTGACTGGTCCCGCCCAGCGATATCAATCTCGATTAGAGCGCTGGCATTGAAGCACCAATAAAAACAATCTGAAACTTTTTTTTTCCCACCTGGAATGCTCATCCCGCATTGACACATTTCGATGGCCCCAAAAACAGCTATCAACTCAACAGTAACAACAACAATTACACCGATAGCAACTGCAAAACAACTTAATTGATTACCCAAAAAGCCAACAACTGCTATGATCGACTTTGTTGTAGACATTTCACGCACTCACGTTTTTTAACGCAATCTCCATTTACAACAACAGCAGCAATGAAATGAAAATCCGCAGTCGGATTCCCGCATCTTGGCGTTTGCCTCGGGTCTGTACACATAAATATATTTTTAAGACCGCAGCACAGTATTTATCTTATATTTTTCTCCTGCCTCTGTTACATTGAAATCGTGGTTCGCTGCGGTTTTTCTTTTGAGGAATAAACAATTAAAACCAATAAAAAAACAACAAAAGTACTATACAAGTAGAACGGGCAGGGGCCGAAAACGGAGTGTCTGATTGTGAACTTAAGTTAAGTTTGTAGGGAAATGGCAAAGGGTTAGGCGTCTCAATATTGCCTTTTCGACTGGATAATTCTACTGCACTCTGGCCGACTTATTTACGACTCATTAATGACGGTTTCGGCTGCCCTTTAGTGCTTTCAAAGCAGTTAAGGGTCTTAGCATTTATTTATTTTTAATTGCACACTTGATGGCGAATTAAAAAGCCAGGTGTAAATTTCAGCAATCCGAGTGGCCGATGATGTCAACTAGGAAACTTTTACCTATTCACTTGAGTTGCGCCCCTAAAATGTTTATTGGCAAACGATGAAAACAATAAAACACAAATTTAATTTTTATTTTGATTTCTGAGTCATTCAACCCGGCACAGAGCAAAACTTTCATATGGGAAACGTTGGCGAGACTTTCTTCAAAATTTTGAAATACTCGTCCGTCAAGTCATCTACAATCCACAATTTACCACTAGGTCCCCCCCAAGCGCCCCTTTTTGGGGTGGGTGAAACCGATATTAGCTGAGCGGAATAGTTAATTAAGGCATACGCTACATATGCTAATGTCAACCGAATGTGCATATCAATTTGTCAGTCTCTCGACAACTTCCCGCCCCACAAAGCCTCACCCCTCTGCTCCTGAGCCCCTTTTGGCCAAAGAAGTAGCCGGCCTAAAGCCAAGAGCGGCAAGTCGTAAATCGTAAGCCGTAATCCGGAAAGAGTCGGGCCAATTGACGGATGTACGAGCGGATGATCTGCCAATCAAAAGATATTCCCATCTCTTTTTAATGGCAAAATATACTCTACATACAATCGGTATTTGATTTTTATATTGTTATATTTAAGAAATATAAAGACTTGAGATTTTCTTAAAGTGTTAATGAACAACAACATTTCTCAAAGACTCTTGTAAAATTTAAAAGAAAAATAAAACAACTAGGTTTTATAAGGTGTTAATAAACACTAACGTTTTAGGCAATTGTATTTTCCATATCCTTTTCTCAAGTACGTTGCCTAAGTCTTTTGTGTTGCTCCTAGGAACTTCAAGCATTGGCTTAAAGACTAACCGAAATCCATCAGGTGCTGTCACCCTTCATCCCTCCACTTGCCTCACCCATTTACGATTCAGTGATGGTTTAAGCGGAGCCAAGGAAAAAGAACAGGGCGAAGAGTTTTTGACTCACTCAAAAGTCAAGTCAGGTGCGAGCTCGAACAAATTGTTTGTTTATTTCTCCATTTCACTGCAATTTGCCCGGCCAGAATAACAAGAGGACCTAAACGTTTGTATTTTTTTTTGCTTTCTAGTGAAAATGAAAACGCTTTTAGTATTAAACGGCCGAAAAAATAAACAAGAAATAAATTGAAGAAGTCGTTGACAAAGTTTCACTTTCAACCACCATTTGGGACGAAGCCTCTGCACTTTTTTTCAGAGTTTTGGATTAACATGGAGGAGGCATAAATCAGATTTCACAAGATCTCCGAGCGGGAGAAACTAGGTGAGGTGAGAGCACCTGCGATTAGCTGGGAATGGAAATGAGCAAAGGGAGTGCCTAGAGAAGGGGCAAAACAAATCTGATTATGTGCGGACTTGGTCGGGGAAATTAAATGGGTTCTCTGAGTGATGGCTGCAGCCCTATGCTCACGTTTTCATAAAAAGCTGCGAGTGGGATATTATGCCTGGCCGCATAATGGTCAAGTAATTGCGATCGAAGCGTGTTGGCTTTCGCTCTTGGCCTGCAGCGGGATGAGTTGGCACAACACACATAAAAAGGCAGAGCCCTGCGAATGGAATTTGGTCATGGAATAGTCGGGTAGGGTCGGTTAGGGTAGATTGCAACAATCAATGCGGAGATTCTGAGAACCCATGACTAAGACGGATTTGAACTAATTTGCCTCTTTACCGCCCTCTTCTTCTTACAGCCAAAGACCATGCCCAAGAACGAAGACAATTAACAGGTGAGTTAAAATTTTTGAGCGAATATACACCTCTATACACCCTTCTCAAAGTTGAACCTCTCCGATGAAAAGCGCAGAGTATCAAAAGCATAAAAAAAAAACAGCGAAAAAGAAGATGAAGAACGGTTGGCAACCACAATCTGTCGGCGCTAAATTGAATGACTGTCAATAGTCGGTATTTGGCCAATGATTTGTTGTACAAAAACAACAACGTTGGCTCTAACAAGGACCGTTACATAAAATGAGAAGAGAATCGTTGATGGGAATCGGCAAGAGGAGGGGGGATTTTACACAGCGGTGTTGCCATGATATTTGATTTTTTGCATGACACTTGCAAAAAAGAAACAAAAGAGAGGGAAAAACAAGTTTATTTGTGACGACCTTAAATTGTTTTTGACTTTGAGTTCGACTCTGGCTTTGAGCCTATAACTGCCAAAGTTACTGGTACAAATGCTATGTGCATGTTTCTGAATAACCTATTGTACAGACTTGCAATTGTGTGTTTATTATGTCTGATTTGTCAGAGCTAATTAGTTGTTCGATTATTTTTGCCAGTTCGTTTGGGTGATTGTTTCGTGGGCCAGGCTTACCAACTCTTTTACAATGGGCTACTGATTACCGGAACCCTTAAGTGCTACTATTTTCATTTCGACATTTCTTTGGCTAAGAATAACATTGTTGACTTTGCCGCCTCAAAAACATATTTTTAAAACATTTTCTTGTAAATTAAAATTAATACAATTATACACAACCTTCGCACAAATTTTTCATCATGCTAAAAAATCTTGCCGATCACTCGCCCATATCTTATAAGTGCGATAGGAACGATTGGGTGAGATTAGCTACGTTTTTTAAGAATTATGCGAATGTCTCGCTGTTTTTTGCCTTATATGGGAACCCATTTGGGATCCATTTCTTGAGTTGACTAAATCCTATTGCTGCCATATATCTATACGTACAGTTATAGGCAATACGTTTGCGCAGTGCACGCTGGCATTTATTTATAGCGTAACTGCAAGGGTAATTTAGTTTGATACTTTTATAGTTTGGTAACAGAACTATATTATTTGCTTCTAGATTTTTCTTTTTAGCAATTATTTTTTCTCTAGGGCACTCCGACTTTACACAGAATTGCCCTATCGGTTAATACTTCATGTTCACACCACTAACTCCCCTTTTAAAGATCAAGTGACACAGCACTGTTGTTTTTGCCCGGGCACTTGACTTCTGCCCTTGTTTTCATAAGTCCGCCTGGAATGCACTACCCAATGCACTACTCACCACCTACCCACCACCCACAAGGCGGCCCCGATCCGCGTGCCAAGGCGTAGGGGGGACTGGGACCCAGTGGCGTCAGATGGGGCTCAAATCCCGCTTCTTGCCGTCAGCCGGTTTCGCGCTCGCTCTCGCGCTCTCTTTTGGCACCTGTCGCTGCCACTCAGTCTTGGCCAACTTCTTCGGCTTACGACGGTTTCCTCGTGTGCTGCTGCTGCTGCTGTTTCTGCTGCTTTTGGCCAAGTCGCCGCTGCCGTGGGCACGTCTTGAGCGGCGAGCGTTCAATGCGCTGCCAGCCGTCGAAAAGAACGCACGCGAGTGACTTCCCACCGGCAGTAAAAGCCAAGAAACTAAGCAAAAGACTAAAGACTATAAAAGTCAAACTGATCAAAATCGAAAATTGGAAATACGCGTGCGCGTGTGTCTTTTAAGCGCAGTCAACGTCGTTCGGAACACCTATTTAAATACATTTTTTTTTGTATCAATTTTTTGTCGCATGTGAATTGGCAATGTGCAGTGCGTGATGTGTGGATTGTTTCTGCATCCAAATCTGCAGGAGAAAACACTTCCACAGTCGTAGTTCTCCATTTCGGATTCTAGTGCTGAAAAGCTGCCTCACAAGCAGTGCGTCACAATGTCTGCCAAGAACCAAATGAGCGTTCTAATGGAGAAGATCAACACGGTGAGTTTCAAGGGACTGTCTAGGCTGTGGGTTTCTGTGGGCTTACATATGTGGGTTTATGTGTGTCTCTGGGTCGTGATCCACTGGAGTTTGGTAAGTTTGCGAAAACAAAATGAAATTTTTGCTTTTGTAAAGAAATAGATTTAAACTTATATCCGAAATTGGTTCTTTGCATAATTATTAAAATGGTTTAGCTGAAAATTTTAAGTTAAAAATTCGACGCATTTTTTATTACCTTGTATACTTTGCTGAAGTTTATGCAGAGCAACTGTATTTCAAACTATCTCCATAGCTAATTGTGTATCATGTTTTAATGAAATGTTATTTTGGTTGTTACTTTTTTTTATTGTATTATTTATCCTCTTCAAGTAAACAAGACTTACGTTATGCACTTTTGTTTTCATACTAAATAGCGAATAATCTCTTAATTGGTGGAAACTTAAATAAAACCATATTTATTTTTAAAATAGTGCAATCAATATAAGCCAAGTTAAAGACTTCATTTTTGTAACACCTTTTCTTTTAAGGGACATTCCCTCGAACCTTTTTCTTTCCCTACTTTCCTAATTCTTCACCCATCTCTGCACTCCTGTTGTTTTCCATTTGTGAAACATAGAGAGGGGTATTAGAAAGGGGTCAGGCGAAAAGAGACAGCGAGAGTCATCTCTCACCTGACCAACAATATAGCGTCATTTGCATTCAAAAGTGTCGCCTGACCGCTTATAAATAAAATGAAATTGAAATTTTTGCGCCTCAGTTTTCCCAGTTGTTCCATCCATTCGCCGATACTCGGATGCCCGGGTACGGGGACGGGAACGGGTACGGGTACGAGTACGAGTACTCGACGCATTTTGATTGTGGAGAAATGAAAGTGAAATGCGCCCCAGCGAAATTAAGTGCCCATTGGCCGCCATACCGCCGCCCTGCTTACTTCGCCCCCTGATCGAGTGCGCCTCACTGAGCTTCAATGGAACGAGCTGACGAAATGCTGCACACCGCATAACAAACAAAAAGCAGAAATCAAACGAAAATCAAACAAGTGACCGACGTTCGGTGCAGCAAATTATTGAAAGTGCGATGCAGCACAGCGTCGGGCATTTGTGCAACAATAATTAATTTCTAATAATTTTTGGTTGCCTTTTTGTGCGATTATAGTAATGCTGATGAGGCAGGCGTCCGCCATTTGGCGGTAAAAGCGCGGGGTGAGAGTTGAGCAATCTGCCGTGACTCTCCGTCTCAAAACTCACAACTTAAAACCCCCTCCTCTTCCCACACGCCACTATAACCATTTTAGTGGTTTTGTTAACTAGCTTCGATTGCGGTAAATGCAGCTCCTGGTTTGGATTCGACTGCTTGTTTAGGTGCAATTCGAGGCAAGTGTTTTCTAAGTAAAACGATTATTCGATAACATCTCGATTAACAGGCTCTGAAACTAGCGCACTTAGTTATTTTGACCTAGTTCTTCCTACTAAACCCATTAATTAGTGTTCGGATGGCCTGTGATGCAGAAAACTTAGCCCTTGTTTTATACATATTTTTTGTAATTTGAATCAGACTACTTTATTATATTGTTGATCAGCATTACCAGACAATTTGATCTTGCCATGTCAGTATCGTATCTCTGTTTTTAAGCTGTCTGTTAGAAACTCTTCTAAAAGTCGTATTTCTATTAAAGGTAGATGACTATAAATGACTATGATTATCTCCCATAAAAACAACAGAAAAATAATTTTAAAAAAAATCGACGTAACTTCATTGTTCCATAGATAAAGGAAAAAGAGACCGAATATATAATTTATATAACATTATTATATTCCTTACATTTATGGAATAATATTATTACTAGAACAAATACTGAACAAGTAATGCTGAATATCAATGGCATGTATCGCATATTTTACACCAACTCAAATGACACAACACCTTTTGGCTTAATGGGAAATGTCATAATGTTACCTGTCATACGCTCTATTTCTGCTAGTCCCCTTCTACGTCGCAGTTTCTCAAAGATGTTGAGCTCCATTATTGCCAGCAGTTTTTATTCCCTGACAACTTTCGCTCACTTGACATTCTGCGGGCTTGGCCTACGGCATTCTGGGCCCTCGGGAGGAGATTCGGGAAATCGGAGGGGGACAATAGCCTGTAACACATGAAACATGAAATGGCAGGCAACTCCACCTTCATAATTTGCCATCGGAGGGGAATATCACAGCTGACTGGCCAAAATTAACGGCAAGTTCCGTTGTGACGTGAACTACCGCAATCTGCGCTAGAATTCGGCTGAGCAGGTTGCATAATCTGCATCTGCTTCTGACTGTAAGTACCACCAAACTCGATCTCGAACTGGTTCGTCCATTTTCATCTGGCCGGTGGTGGATTTATTTATGACGTAAGGCGCTGGCGGATTCTAGGCCTGCCAGACTGGCATTGGCCCAGCCCACGGAGTGTTATGAGGTCTTGCGGGGCGTTACGGGGAGTAGTCAGCCAGGAGGGATTCCAGCAGACGAACTTGATTCTCACGACCATTGGAGTGCTAGTGCTTGGCCCACATTGCCAAGTGGACGGATAAGTAAATTATATCAAGCGATGGCTTCATACCTGCTCACCTCCAATTAGCTTCTATTAATATGATATACTTTCAATTTGTAGCTACATGGTTTAACAGTGACTCACTGACTAAAAGTATATTTTTACACTCGCAGATGATATTATTAATTCAGTCAAAAGTATAAAATATTTGTTTTCTATCTAGAAGTCTCTGGGACTTGAAATTTTGCTTTGGCAAAAGTTGGAATTATAGAAGTTGGACTGCACATATGTACTTACATATATTCAAGCTACAAATATGTAACACATATACCTATTAAAATATATTAGGTACACCAAATTTACCTACACGTGGTGAAAATTAGAAAAAATTAAAAAAAAAAAAAAACCATTATAGAGTTATTCGGTGACTTAACCTAAATTTATGGAGGTATTCGACGATTAAGGCACAGATTAAAGATATATATTATTGATTTTTTGGTATTATCTGTATTTGGAAATATTGTTTTGTTGTTTGTTTGCTTTGTTTTTCCGATGCCACAATAGAATATATCGTAGACGCCGTAATCCATACTATAGAAAATCCTAGACAGACCGCCAAGGTCATGACGTCTCTCGTTCGTGGTGACCACATCAAAGAAAGCTGATTCTCGATAACGGATTCACATCGCTCCGCAGTTACGGGAAGCTCTGACCCATATAACTAAACCAGCATAGGCCTCGCGCATACTATATGGATTTTCGGAATCCAAATACGGAAGCCTTATAATGCTAATGAATCGCTGCGTAAGCAAACGAAACCAGGCACCAGCACATGACCAAAACTAGACTGGAAAAAGTCTGTTCAAGAGGCGGGGGCACTGTAATAACTTCCTGTCTCTGCCTGATTTCCATGCGAAGACCCCACTCCAGCACGGTCCAATCCACTCGGACTTCGACTCAAAGACCACTCTACTTCAGCTGGCCGTCTTGTTTGACTTACTTAATCAAACCTAATGCCAAAAGATACAAAAGTGTCTGCATGTAATGCGATCCATTTGCGGGCCACCTACGCGCCGAAACTTTCCAGAGTCGGTCTGAGATTGAAATTGAAATTTATGCGGACATGAACTAGCCGTGGCTGACCCGGCTAATCAACTGGAAATACATTATATGTTTGTTTGCGTCTTTTGGCAAGTGAAAGTGGCCATCTAGAAGACCAGCTGATAGCTGATAACGCGTATGTCGAACAATTAAAAGAAGCCCCGGACAACAATAAGCAAAGATAGAGCGCCAATCAGTCTAGGAATTGGAGTGGGAGTATAAAAATATAAAAGAGAATTACAAATAAAACGAAAGAAATCATCAAGGTCGTTGTTTTCAATCAAATAGCTTTTCATAGATTTAATATTTAAAAAAAAACTAAACAACAAGGAATATAATTGCTAAAAAATTAAATATGCTATAACCTTGATGGCGAATTTTTATTTTAAATCAAAATCAACTTTCACCTGTAAATTTACAGCTTAGAAATTTGCACCGAATAAGAGCAAAATTCGGATTTTTTTCTTAACCAATTTGAATCTTTGTATTTGCCCATCTACTGTGATAAGGTTTCCCGCCGCCGTTACTTCTATGAATCTTTCTCCGACTATCTATTTATCTGTTTTGTTTTTATATCACATTGTCAGTCTAAAAATGAGGAGTGTAAACAGGCAAAGCAAGGCAAATAAAAGTGTGTTTTGGCAGAAGTCGGATAAGATAAGTGTCTTAACCTAAGATTTGTTCCAGTTGAGACCCGAGTTCTGGGATGGAAAGATCGAAATGGCAGTAGAAGTGGACGTGCAAGTGTATGTAAAAAACAAGGTGAGCAAGGATTCTGGGAGAGATCGGCGTGGACAATGGTCTTAGGGCAAACTCGATTTCCCTCGCTCGATGCACCACTCGTGAGGAGGGGGAATCCGCACACTTACACTCACGGTTGGTCAGGAGTCTCTTTGTCAGGCAAATTTCACCGTTAAACAAAAAATGAAATTGCCAACTTAATTTACGGCGTTAAACGGACGGGAAAAGCGGCACGGGGTGCTAGGAAATGCGGGACGGGGACATCACGATCTATGCGATCTTCTGCTTTGTTTTCCCCTCTTTTCGATAAACACTTTTACTTTCCTTTTCAATTTGTGTGTTTTGGGGGTTTCGCTTGGTCTCGAACCAAAGAGTTTCCCCCTCAATCGCCAGCCTATAATCACAATAATCATGGTAAGCGGGCAGTCAGTCAGGCCAAAACAGGTTGCCGGCGGATGCCCAGACTGCAGACTCGGAGTTTTCGGATGCCGAAAGAAAGTGAAAACATTCGCCAAGAAGCCAAGAGGAGTTGGTCACCGCGTTCGAAATAAAAATTGAATTTAAATACATTTCGTATGTTAATTGCAGCGCTCAGATTGGTATTCCCATCCCCAAACTGAAAAATCCCA